TGCACAGATGTGTGTACCCCCGACACAAACATATAGATATGGGGGGTGAGGAAGAGGAGGCACTGCTAAAGTGCTAACGTGGTGGCACGTGCCTCTAATCCCAGCATCTGAAAGGTACAGGCAGAAGGATCAGGAGTTCAAGGCCATCCTTAGCTACATAGAGTTGGAGGCCCAGCCTGGGCTACAGGAGGTCTAACACACACACACACACACACACACACACACACACACACACACACAAACTGCTGGTATCAGAAAATGAGGCAATTCCTTTAAATTATGTCTGATGTCTCGACCCGGTCAAGTAGACATTTACTAAATTCTAGACTGTATTCAAAAGCCTAAAATTATATATTGAATTACGTGGCTGAACTTATTAAGGGGGAATCATTGCTGCCTTATCACTGGAGACAGGATTCACAAAGCTGTATTCTGCATTAACTCAAGCCTGCTCAAATTCTTCTCCAAGGAAACTGCAGTAGATGCCCTTCTATGTGTCCTTTGATTTCAAACTGGTTTGACCTTCATTAAAAGAACCTTAAGGATTCCTCACAATTAGAGAGCTGACGGTGCTGCACAGGGGGCACTGGCTTCCCACCCACTGGGCACGGGTACCTAAACCCCAACCTTCTGTGGGTTTTCAAAGGTCCTGAGAGGAGGTAGCAAATGAGAGATGACTAACCAGCTAGCAGGCACTGCACCCTTCACACCCTGAGCGCCATCCAGAAGACCATGTGTAAATCAGATTCTGATTTCCTCCGACACCCTGTTGTGGGACAGTAACAGTCTGTAGACAGCAAATACAGATTTTAAAGAATTACTTCTATGCATGTGCATGTGTGTGCAGATGCCTAAGGAGGCCAGAAGAGGGTGTCAATCCCCGGAAGCTGGAGTTACAGGTAGTTGTGAGCTGCCCGGCTTGGGTGCTGGGAACTGAATTCAGGTCCTCTGGAAGAGCAACAAGCTCTTAACACTGGGCCATCTCTCCAGCCCTTGTGGACATTAAATATTTTAAGGCGATGCACAGTATGGTGCACAAAAGGTGTGTGGGGGGAATAGTCAGCAGTCCCACAAATAACACATGGAGTGGCACAGTGCTCCAGTAAGCTCCGAGCAGGCAGATCGACCTCGAGCAACTTGGGAGCATTGAGGGAAGTAGAGCTTTGTTTTTGTTTTGTTTTTTTTTTAAAGACAGGGTCTCATGATGCAGACCAGGCTGGCCTCAAACGCACAGATATTTGCCTACCTCTTACCTCCCAAGTGCTGGGACTAAATGAGTCCATCATACCTGGCCTGGAGATAGATATTTGACACGTGTTTACAGTGATGTTTACAAACTGTGAGTTTTCCACATAGTACGTAGCAGTGAGTCTCTGGCTTTCTCTTTCTGTGTCTATTTTGACTGGAGTGAATAGCTATTTTATAAGAATCACTTCAGGCTAATTAAACCAAGGCAAGATTTAATCCTGACTTCAAGAAATACAGCACAGGGGGCTGGAGAGATGGCTCAGCAGTTAGGAGCACTGGCTGCTCTTGTGGAGGACCCGGATTCAGTTCCCAGCACCCACATGATGACTAACAACCATCTGTAACTCCAGTTCAAGGGGATCTGAGGCCATCTTCTGGTCTCCATGGGCACTGCATGCACCCGTGCACTTACATTCAAGCAGGCGAAACACTGAGACGCATAAAATAAAAATCAACTTGGAAAGAAAGAAAGGAAGAGCAGCACAGGAGGACTCCATGTGCTGACGTCACACACGAGCTAGACAGGCCGGCTGCTGTCAGGCTGCGTGGTTAACCTCGAGAAAAGCCGCACAAGCTCCTCAGCTCTTCTCAGTCTCATTCCTCACTTGCTAAGTAGATGATATTAATAAGGCCTAATTATTTATAAGTTATGAGGATTTAACTTGTCACCAGGAACTAAAATCAGTATCTGATATGTCACAAGGATGACAGGTTAAAAAAAAAAAAAAATCACAGGAAGACTTTTTTTTTTTTTTTTTTTTTTTTAAAAAAAAAAAAATGTATAGTATAAAAGAGAAATAAGAAATAAAAAAAAAAAAAAAAACAGAAGGAAGTTTTTTTTTTTTTTTTTTTTTTTTTGGTCTTTTTGAGATAGGGTCTCCCTGTGACTCCAACTGGCCTGGAACTCACTATGTATACCAGGCTGGTCTTAAACTCAGAGATCCACCCACCTCTGCCTCTCAAGTGCTGGGATTAAAAAGGCATTTGAAAGGGCTGGAGAGATGGCTCAACGTTTAAGAACACTGGTTGTTCTTGCAGAAGACCTGGGTTCCAATACCAGCACCCACATGGCAGCTCACAACTGTCAGTAACTCCAGTTCCAGGGGATCCGATGGCCTCTTCTGACCTCCATGGGCATTGCACGACATGGGTGCACTTACCTACATGCAGGCAATACATGCATACACATAAAATAAAAATAATAAATAAAATTTAAAAAATAAAATATTTAAAAAAATAAAGAGGCATGTGCCACCATGCTCAGCTTCATAGGGAGTCTTTTAAAATAATTTGTTTCTGCTCTTGACTTAAAGTGACACCAAGGTCTCTGGTGGCTACGAGACTAGATGGAGGCTGGAAAACCATTACAGGTTAGTCACATAATTCCTATTTCTCCCTCATCCCACCAGTGGCGCTTATTCACCTCTTAAGTTTTTTCTAGTTAAAAGAAAAAGATAATTGAGGCTGGAGAGCTGGCTCAGTGATTAAGAGCTCTGGCTGCTCTTGCAGAGGACCCGGGTTCAGTCCCCAGCACCCACATGGTGACTAATAACAGTCTGTTACTCCAGTTCCAGGGGATCGGACACCCTCTTCTGGCCTCGGTAGGTATTTCATAATATAAGTGCATTTGCATGCATGCAGGTACAACATCATAAACATAAAATAAAAATAAAGAAAAAGATAATTTATCTGTTGGAGACAGTTGCTTTCTTTTTATTTTTAATGGCTCTCTTTCTGACACTGTTTAAGGAACACCAAGCAGGTATGTTGGGCACATCTGCCACACCTGCCATCTCGGCACCTGGGTGGGTGAAGCAAGAGAATTAGGAGTTCAAGGTCAGATAGCTTAGGCTACTTGTGACCCTGTCTCGAAACAACGAACAAAAACAGCTCTATGGTGGCCCACGTCTACAATCCCAGCATCCAGGAGGCTGAGGCAGGAGCATTGCTGTGACTTCAAGGCTGGTCTGGGCTGTTCAGTGAGCTCTAGACCTGCCTGGGCTAAGAGAAAGACTCTGTCTTAATAAACAAACAAACACAGCTGTATGAACTTCATGCTGATTCAGCATTCAGTCACTGCGCAGCAGAGAACAGTTCTGTAGACCCACTCGACCACTTGTACCTTGGTTAGAGTCCACATTTAATAACTGTTGACTACATACTGAATTTCGTTCAGAGGTCAGTGGTGCATGCACTAATGTTTCTGTGATCCAAAAAGTAATCCTTAAATCCAAACTAATGTGTCTAGGCCCAACTTAGGGTCCTAACATCTCCCTGGTCCAACTGTAGTTATTGGCCATTTTCAGAGACTAAAGTTAACCTGAAAATTAGAGATCCAAGGACTGGGCCAGGTGTGGTGGCCCACATCTGTAATCCCAGCATCCAGGAGGCTGAGGCAGGAGGATTGCTGTGAATTTGAGGCCAGCCTGAGCTACAGTGTGAGAACTGGTTGAAAAGGAAGGGGGGGTGTGAAGAAGAGGATGAAATTCAAAGGCAGGGGAATAGAAGTTTCAGAAATTTCTACTATATTTGCTGAAGAAATGCTCAAAAACGGCCTTAGTAAAGCCACGCACAACAACCTGGGCAGAAAGCACCGGGGGCAGTAGACGGACTGTTGGTGGCATGTTGGTCAGTCAGGAAAGTCCAAGGGAATCTGTCTCAGTGCTTTGGGCTCTAAATGGACATCTTAGCCGTTTCCCAAAGAAATGAAACTCAACCATTCTGCAGCTCCACCCAGGGCAGCTGCCTACCAGCGGCTTTCCAGTGAATGTGGGAAAGACCACATGTGTGTGAACCGCACCATGAACTTAGGCATTCTCGGTCACAGCTCTTGTTGGGTTCAAACTTCCCGGCTCATGTAAGATGGAAAAGCCTTCTGAAGAAAGCACACCTGCTTGTTCAGAAAACCATCCCAAGTGCCTCTCCCTCTGAAACATGTGCTACCAGTGTGTTCTGTAACTCCTTCCACAGAGAAACATGTTCCACTGCTTTGAGTATGACAGGTGACAGGGCAGGCTACTTCCAAAGACCAGCCGAATACTCTCGCCTCTTCAAGTCAGTTGTGAGTTGGTAGCAGTGGTTGGCTCGGATGCTTAAATCTCAGTAGAGTGCCTTCAGGGAAGGGTCCCTGCACTGGGGAGCTGTAGAAATCGTGCTTGCTTTGGGTGGCTTACAATCGGTAGTTAGGCTGGGTCTAGACAAAATCATTACTTCAAAAGTCCACCTTGAACACAAAATTGCTTATGTCACGAATAGCCACTTGAACGCTGGCTTTTCCAATGATTCATTGGTATATTAGCCTAATCCACACAATGAATGAAGAACAAATTACTAGAACAAAAGACGCTATTTTCACAACAAAAGTTCTGCTAACCTGAGTGTTCCTCATTGCCGTTAGGTAATGAGCTCTGCCTTGTGAGCCTCTCTCCAATACCCTAGAGCTATGCACAGCATCCAAGGATGGGCAAGTACTCAGCATGGAAGGCACTCAGTGCTCCCCCACCCCCCAAGTCATCTGAGCCAGAGAAAGACCTCTTCTCCACCACTGAGAGTCTGGACCCAGGACACCTGCACTTCCTCCTACCTATGTGCCAGGGCGGCATACTTTTAACGCATGAGAAGCTGCTTCTCATGGACGGTCCCAGCTGGCGCATCCCCAGTTCTGATGAGGGTTTGATTTCAAACAGTAGGACTGAAAAACGGCCATGAACTCTGGGTGGTAGAAAACAGTGCCGGCAGAGGACGCGACTTACCATGCAGGTATCCAGGTCTTCCAAACGCTCCACCTCGGTGAGCTCCTCCACCGTGAGGACTGATCGTTTCACCGGCTTCTCCTCCACCAGCTCCATCTCCAGGGACCCCTGCTTGGGATGGCTTCCACTTTGCTTGCTGAAGTGGTCAGCCTAGGTCAAGAGGGACAGGAGACAAGAGAGGAATCTCTGAAGATGTCTTTCACAAGGTGGTACTGTAGAGAGCTACCTTGCAAGTAAGTCAAGGACAATTCATATTATTTATTTAGTTAAGTAGTTGATTGAGTGCTTTTGAGACGGTCCTACTATGTAGCCCTAACTGGCCTGGAACTTGCTTTGTAGACCAGGCTGCTCTGTAACTTTCAAGGATGCCCCTGGGTCAGCCTCTTCTCCTAAGTGCTTGGATTCCAGGTGTGTACCACCAGGCCCAGGTCAATGTCAGTTCTCAACAATGTACAATGGAGTAACCTCTGAAGAACTTTCTTTGAAGGGCAATGTTGTTTAAGTGAGAAATCAAAAACCTCCCCTCTGAAATAAAGACTATGGAGGACAAGCAGGTAAAGATGCTTGCCACCAAGACAGACCATCCGAGTTTGATCCCTGAGATTCACATGGTGGAAAGAAAGAACAGAGTCCTACAACTGTCCTCTGACCTCTGACTGCCACGCACCCACACCACGGCACATATTAACATACACACACACACACATGTATATACATGTATATTGTCTTTTTCAGACAGGATCTCCCTGTAGTCCCAGCTGGCCTGGAACTCACTATAGAGACCAGGCTGGCCTCAATCTCACAGGCAACCATCTGCCTCTGCTTCCTGAGTGCTGGGATTAAAAGCATGTGCCACCACTATTTAAAAATCCATAAATAAGGGGCTGGAGCCATGGCTCAGCAGTTAAGAGCACTAGCTGCTCTTACAGGAAACCTGGGTTTGATTCTCAGTACCCACACGACAGCTGACAACCATCTGTAACTTCAGTTCCAAGGAATCCAACGCCCTCTCATGACCTCCTCAGGCATTACGACATGGGTGCACCTACCTACATGCAGGCATTGCATTCATATACATAAAATAAAATAAATAAAATATTTTTAATTCATAAATAAATGAAGATAATACTTGGCTCCAAATAAAATAAGCAGTTTTCTTCTATAACTAATTGCTTAACAATATCTAACGAAGCAAATAAAATTATTCCAACTTTTGTTATTTTTTTTTTAAAGACTAGAAGGAAAGAAATTGTTTCCGAACCTCCCTTGTTTTCGTGCGTGGAATACCATGTTTATTGAGGTATTTCCACTGTCATGACTTAGGTAAACGTAAAAAGGAAATGCCAAGCTGGGTGGTGGCCACGCCTTTAGTCCCAGCACTCAGGAGGCAGAGGCAGGCAGATCTCTGTGAGTTCCAGGACAGCTGGGGCTACAGGGAGACCCTGTCTCAAAAAGACCAGAAAAAAAAAAAAGAAGAAGAAAAAAGTAAATGGTAAGCAGTGTGAAGAGCTGGGCTGATCAGAGAACGAGAACTTTGGTTCTGAGAGAATGAGAAACAGCTAATCACTTCACACCCGGGCGCTTTGAGAACCTTCCTACAGTTAAGTTAGAGGAAATGAAGCTCATTGAAAATCAGTTAATTTTTCTTTTTTATAACCCAAACCTGCAAAGAAACACAAAAGTAGAGCGGTAGTTCATCTTCGTCATCAGCTTCACCAGATCTAGAATTCCAGGAGACACACCTCCGGGCCTATCCATGAGGGTGTTTCCAGACAGGTTTAACTGAGGAGGGATACTTACCACCCTGAAGGCAAGTGTCACACTCTCCCTCTGGCTGGGGTCTTCGCAAAGGGAGAAGGGAGAAGGTGTGCTAAACACCAGCATCCACCTCTCCCGCTTCCTGACTGTGAACTCCACGTGACTGGCTGCCTCAAGCTCCAGCCCTCCTGTCCTTCCCACCATGATGGACTGAACCCTCCGACCATGAGCCAAAAACCCTTAAGTTGTTTCTGTCACAGTAAAGAGAAGTAACTAATAAAGTTCGTTCACACAATTCTTTTGCAATTACAAAGAATAAATAAATCAAGACTATGAGTAAATTTGTCAATAAAAGGCAAATGCAAAAAAGCAAAAATTTCAAACTTCTGGTGAAGGTCTCCCAGGTGGAGTCGTGCTGACGCGGCCTCAAGTGTTGGGTAGTAGCCTGTCAGCATCCTGAGACAGCTCCTGGGCCCACAGGAAACCAACACACTTTTCTAAAAGGCATACACCATCAATCCTGCGTGCGCTCATTTTACAGAAGTCTGAACTAGGAACTCTATGCAATGATGTCGCTCTTGACTATGCGGAAAACTAGGCAAGATCAGCATTGCATCTGCATGATGGGGCTGGGAATCTGTTTCCTGTGCATTGCCAGTTTGGCTCTGGGCAATATGCTAATAAAAGACAACACACACAGATTGAGAAAAGTAAAGTGCTTCAACAATGTGATCATGTCAACTGCTCTAGAAGCTTCTCAGCACCTGCTAGTGGTTTTTCTTAACTAATGAATATTCACAGACTGCTAACACTTGTTAGTGGGCCAGCCAGTCCATAGAAGTGTTTGGGAGTTATGCTGTTAGAGATGTGGCAGGCACCAAACTCACACACGAAGGTGGTGGAACAAGAAAGTTCAGGAGTTCAAGGTCATCCATGGCTACATAGTTTGAGGCCAGCCTGGGCTATATGAGACACACTCTGTCACATACACACATGAACACATATAAATAGGAATCATCTGTGCTGACCTAACTGTGGTGGCTCATACCTCTAATCACAGAACTCAGGAGGTCAAGGCAGGAGAACTGTCTTGCGTTCAAGATCAGCCTGGGCTAGAGTGAGATCTTTTCTCAGAAACACAAATAATAATAATCCATTCTGAAATAATTCTATCAGATAAATAAAACGTGCACATTAGGTAAAATAAAAATGCTCATTTTAGACTTTATTCTCAACATCATCTCCTACCAAAACTTTTGACTTTTCTTAAACATACAGAAGATGGGCTAGAGAGATGGTTTAGTGGTTAAGAATACATACTGCTCTTGCAGAGGACCTGGTTTCTGTTTCTAGCACCCATATCAGGAGGCTCACAACCCCAGGAGGGTTCCAGGGGGACTCGAGGCTTCCAGCCTCCCTGTGTACACAGCCCCCCATAATTAGAAATAATAAAATCTTCCAAGAGGGTGGCGCACCCCTTTAATTCCAGCACTCAGGAGGCAGAGGCAGGCAGATCTCTGTGAGATCAAGGTCAGCCTGGTCTACATAGTGAGTTCCAGGCCAGCTGGGACTACAGGGAGACCCTGTCTCAAAAACACCAAATAAATAAACAAAAATTTTTAGGGGCTGGAGAGATGGCTCAGCGGTTGGGAGCACTGACTGCTCTTGCAGAAGACCCGGGTTTGATTCCCAGCACCCACATGGTGGCTATGAACCGTCCTTAACTCCAGTTCCAGGGGAATCCGAAGCTCTCTTCTGACCTCCGTGGCATTGCACGACCCGGGTGCACTCACATACATACAGGCAATACACTCATACACATAAAATATAAATAATAAATAAAATATTAATAAAAAATTTAAAGGCTCTAAAGGCGCTGCTGCAGACATCAGGGCACTCACCAGCTTGCGGTGGCTGAGGGAGAGCGCCTCTAGGATCTCGTCCACAATGCGGTCGGACAGGAATGAGGCCACTGTCAGCTTCACCTCACTATGGACACCAAAGGACAGAGAAGCCTTTAACTTGTGTGAGGGGAAGACTATCACGTACCTGTGAGGCCAGGATGAAGCCACCCAGGACGCCACTGCTGTCTTTGAAAACAGAACAGAAGACCGTGTTAACCACACTGAGGATTCTCCCAAAGAAGTCTCAAACACAGCCATAAATACGCAAGTGACAGGTGTCTATTGCCAATGCCCGCCTGCCTCTGAATTTAAAACTCAAGATTTAACAGTAGAAATGGAAATTGTGGATAAAGACAAACTCAATGGGAACCACGTGTGCCATGTGGCCAGGCACAAGCCACTCACCGACAGAGGAGAGCCGACCTGCGCTGCAGAAAATTAAGGAAGTCCAGTCTGACTACTAAGCCTCAGCTACCACTTCAACATATATAAATCCCACCTGTTTACAAACCTTTTCACCAATCAAATGGTGCTGTGTTAGAGTTTCTGCTTCAACTTAGCATACTGCTAAGGAAAAGATACAAACTCACTGTGTCCTCACTTTTACAAACAGATTACTAAGGTTTTCAGTTTCGGTGCCTCTCACCTGACCGGGGACTACTGCCCAGGCAACAGAAAGAGGCTTGTAGTTTTAAATAATAGACTCAGGCCTTCAGGTTCCCTCCAGATGGCTGCTGCTTTAGTTAACACTTTAGCAATTCACAAGGATTCATCCTCTTTGTAATCTGCTACTGAATCACCCTCCTGGAAAGCACATGTGTACAGGTGCCCAAGACTCAGGGAAAATGTTAGGGAGCCAGTCATATACCTACATTCCATGGTTGTCTTATGAGCTTAGCCTGCTTTTGAAGTCAACAACTTTTATGTTTTCAGAACAGATAAATGAGTTTTCAGAATAAATTTACTTTTCCCTAAAGCTGAGGTTGAATTTGTGCAACAGGAAAATCTCCCTAAGTTTACTGTGGTACTTTGTATTGAGACCTCTCTGCTCAGAAAGATTATTCTGGTGGGGCACAAGGAAGGAGCATTAACTCTGAGGTCCACAGTAAACCTAGCCAGGGCCAGGACAGTTCTTTCAGGAAACAAGACCAACATTCAATGTGTCTAATATTTAATTATCTAATACTTTAAGCTGAAGGTGATGCTCACACTTGTAACCCCAGAAGACAGGAGGCTGAGAGAGGAGGACTGCCATAAGTCTGAGGCTGGCCTAGATTACAAAGAGAACCTGCCAAAAAATGTAATAGCAATAATAATCATAATAACGTCACACCGGTGGTATCCGGGTGAGATTGAGGTGTGGAACACTGTGTCACGTCTGGAACTTCCAAGGGATGCTACAAGCTCATTGCAAGAAGTACTTCCTGATTCTTCTAAAATTTTTATTATTTATTTATTTGTATTTTATGTGTATGAGTGTAATGTTTGCATATATGTAAGTGCACCCATGTCATGCAATGCCCATGGAAGTCAGAAGAGGATGTTGGATCCCCTGGAACTGCAGTTACAAATAGCTGTTAGCCACCACGTGGGTGCTGGGAATCAAAACCCAGGCCTCTGGAAGAGCAGCCAGTGCTCTTAACCACTGAGGCCTCTCTCCACCCCTAGGGTCATGCCTGAGATTATGACTCCTCCTACTGAAGGGAGGAGGCTCTGTGGTTGCCTCTCTCTCCCTCCCTCTCTCTGCAGGCAGGAGGAGAGGTTTATCAGCTTCAAGGTATAGCATCAAAGGAAGACTCTTAAAAATGGAATTGCTGTTAGATTTCTCAGGTTGCTCTGACCTTGTTGCTGGGTGATCTACTTCTTCAGTGATGGCCTTTCAGAGGGCTCAAGTCACTGCGCCTGCATGTGCCTGCATGGTTAAGACCATGCCTGTGTCATCAGTTCACCCATGTGTGTTGTCGGTGCTCTGCTTAATGCATTATAAAAACCCAAGAAATGAGTCCATGGATGTAAAACTCATTCATCAGTGTAGAAGGCTCTCGACTCCTATGCAACATTCCAAGTTTCTCACTTTAAAGAAAAGTGACCACATTAGACAGAATTTGACAACCCAACCCAGAAGGCGGCTGAGTTGGGAAGAGGGATGGGATTAACCAGGAGAGTAAATGGGGGTGGGTGAGTAGGACCAAAATATGTTATATACATACGTGAAAATGATGCAAGGAAAGCCACTATTATGTACAATTCACGTGTGATAATCAAGAAACATTAAAAATAGGTGTAAAAAACCTGACATTCCAGTAAAGACCTGTGTGCGTTCTACTAAGGACCAAAACCATCTCCATGAAATACAGTTTTCATCCTAATATTGAAAGGAGATACTTAATATTTATAAATTTTATGTTTTAAATATTTATTCTTGAAGTATGGCAACATCAAATTACTTTCAAAACAAAATCTGAAGCATCAGAGAACAGAAATGTTAGCATCACGGAAGGAGTCAGGGTTGGAATTGATAATACTGCCGATCATTGGGGTCCTTCATAGTTAAAATCTTTTTTTTTTTCTGCTAATTTCTCAGATCTTTCCAACTGCCTTTTAGACTTCAGCCCAGTGGATCCCAGGAGTTTTATTAAACTAACAAAACCCCAGAGCTGAATCTCAAACCTCAGGTGGCCCAGTCCCGCAGGTTTCCTGAGTCCTGGTTCACAGCGCGGCTGCACAGATGGGGCCTTTGATACAGAGGGACTGCTGTGCTTCCCTCCATGGCTGTGCCTTAGCGCCCGTCCCTACTCTCCAACAGATGCTAGTTTTCTTTCTACATCTGATTATTTTTATCAATATTCAGACATAGGTAAAGGGGAAATTAAAACTGTTTGAGACTTGGCTTCCAGCCAGCTCCCCAGCTAGGAAGCAGAGGGTGACTGAGCTGAGTTACAGAGCAGCTCTGGTGGGACCAAGGGCCTCTGCCTGGAAAGCAGAGATGTTTGGGATCCCATCTTCTAAATATTAAGCCTTGTCAGTTTCAGGCTTTCCCAGATGTCTATATAAAGACCTCAAAGTACATGCACAGTGTCACAGGCCCACCATCCCAACCCAGAACAAAAACAGTGGTAGCAGACAGGAAACTGACATTCCCAAGGTATGAGGCAGGAGGATTGCTGTGAGTTTGAAGCTAGCCTGGGCTTCAGAGTTCCAGAACAGCGCGGGCTGGAGATTGAGACCACCCCCCCGCCCCCCCCAAATCAAAACAACAATAACAAATGAAGGAAAGAAGGGGAAAAGGGTTAGGGTGAGGGAAGAATTGTCCTCAGTCTTTAAGCAAGTGACGTAGAAAAGTGAAGTCAAAACCCAAGAAGCACAAACTAGGGCATAATCACGTGACCCCCCATACAAACCCTTAAATAGGAGCTGCAAACACCATGCTCTCAGGCAGTGCAGCCCCAACTCTCACCCATGTGTAGGGAACCTATGCGTTATGCGTAGCTTGTTTACATACAGTCTCTCTGCCCATTGGACATGCCTCCACACATTTCCACGTGGAGAGAGCCACCCACACCAACCTGCCTGGCAAGCCCCACCGTGTCCCACATACTGTGGCTCCTCTTGTGGCCTAGTAACGCTGTGGACCTACCTAATTTTGTTAATGATGTCAATTCCAGACTGCTCCAACAGGACATTTTTAACAAAGGTACGCGGGACAGAAATCTTTTCAGTGCTGGCGTGGATCAAGTCTTGTCGGAGGTGAGCTTTTTTCATCACGTTGGGGCAGAGGTTCTCAGCAACATCGACCATGGATTCTAGCAAGCCCTGCAAGGCAGAGAGGAAGAAGATAATGACACAGTTCTAGAGGTGTCACCAGAAACCTGGGAGGTGGTTATGGGTGAGAGACAGTAGGCCCTAGCACAGCAGGATCATAAAAGAGCCCTGGGGCACAACCAAGGATTCTAGACTGGCCTGGGACATTTATAACTGTGGGCCATTGTTGAGCTCAGAGATTCTTTAGATCAGACACTTGGCACAGCCTGTGGGCATCACACTGGCACCTGAGGTGTGCTGAGCCTGTTAATCTGAATTTAACACAAAGCCATGAACGAAGCAGTTGAAAATGCAAATACCAACCTTTACATACCAAGTTCCCACAGCAGGCTGCACTCTCAGACTGTACGCAAGCTAGAAAATAAACTTACAAACTCTGAAACTAGAAATACATAAAATATACACCAGATTTGAATGCTTGTGAGACTTCTCAAATAGACTCTCTAAAGTGTGATGAGCCGTTCAATAGTTCTAGCAAAACACAAGAGCAGAAGAGAAAAATAGAGAAACGTCTGCCAACTTTACGCTCTTAAAAAGAGCTTTCCTGTTAGGTAAAACAGTGATTATGAGACGAGCAATAAGCAGCAAGAATAAAAACAGAGGGAAATATTGACAGAGCACGTTATGAGCAACTGCAATACAAGACGCGTGTAAACAGCCTACGGCAACCTGAGAAGCCTTCCCCGCGTTGCAGCCTTCCAACGTCCAGGAGGATGGTGGAGCGGCTGCCCATGGGATCCTGGCTTCACAAGTGATGGGTGCAAGCTAAGGGCTGTTAATTTGCCTGAGGCAGGGGATGGAGCAGGGGAAAGTCCACTGGTGCTGTGTCAGAGTCACACTTGAAACCTAGCTGAGTGACACTGGGTAAAACTGCACTCTCTCCATTTACTTTCTTTGCATAAAAAACTATAGTTTTAAAAAGCTCACTTTACAGGATGACTGAGGATTAAATGATATTACATACAGGACATGCTCTGGAGAGGGTCTGGCACAGAATGAAGGCTCAGTACAACACAGATACGATTATTAATCTCACCGCTGAACAGTAAGAAGCCAGTTTTGGAAAGCTGCCAGGCTGGGATCCTGACTGTTCAGGGTGAGCAGGGACCTACTCACTGCAGCTACTGAAAGACCACCTCAGGGCTCTGTGTGCCCACACACCCACCTGAAAAGCATGATTCTGCCAATAAAATCTCGATACGCTAGAGCACAAGCAACAGACAGGAGGCCGTTCATAAGAAAGAAGATGTAAAACCCAGGGGAGAACAACAGGCAGCCCCTTCAGAAAGTTCGAGACACCTTTCTTTTACATCCTCTATCCCTACTGTAACTCTGGTTAAACAAACCCTGAATAAATACATTATTCCAAGAATATCCCAATACCACCAACCTGCAAAGGACAGAAACAAGTTGGCTTAAGACTAATTACTTTCCTTCCAGGAATGAATAAATACATTTTCTTCCAGACCAAGCAGCCGGCACTCTTGAGCAAGCCTTGGGTTTGCATACCCATTGTCATTATAATGTTTATCAGCATGGGAGTCTTTAGGAAGGTCTGTGTGTTAATTCTGTCAACTTGACTGTGATTATTATTGTTAATCAATGTGGGAAAACCTGGCCTGATCACTGGTGGTACCATTTCATGGGCTGGGTTTTGAACTGTGTGTGAGAAGAAAGCTGGCTGAGCACAGGGCCCACGCCAGGCAGTGAGCCAGGGTCCACGTAAGCCAGGGTCCACATAAGGCAGGGTCCGTGTGAGCCAGGGGCCATGCGAGCCAGGGGCCATGCATTTACGCTGTTTCTGATCATGTGTGATACTTTAAGCTCCTGTCTTGACTTCCCACAATAACTGTAACCTGGAACTGTAAGTCAAATCAACTGTTTCCTCCTGTCTGCGGTCCCCCACAGTGTGACAGCTTAGAATGAACTCAACCCACAGGGTCGGCTTCCAGGGTAAGCACAGCCATGAAGAGTCTGCGGTAATGTTCAGACAGAAGCAGTCAGGCACAGCCTTTTAGATCTCAGCACTCAGCATCTGTTTCCAAAATGTCTTTTGCTTTAGCACTTTAAGAAGAGATGCCCAGCATGGGCCCTATAAAAAGGAATTTCAGCCTGTCTTGAACTCACCAAATGTCTTTCTGTTAGTTCCTTACCAACACCCATAACCCAAACACGGAGCAAGGGCGTAACACACTTTATACTCTGCAAAGTGTCCTCATCATGGAGCTTTTTGGCCCATACGACACTTTGTAAGTGAAAATAGATTTGGACAGCGCCACCTCATAAATGAGACGGGATCAGAGAGCGAAGACTCTCAAACCCACTCAGTGGTCGCTGGAATTGGTGAGGTAGGGACTCGGGTCTTCCGTTCTTCCTCTGGTAATCCCTTCTGACATCCCAGTCTGGTGTCCAAGGATTCACTCCTTTCCAGACTTCTGCTTCGTGGCCTACAATTTTATTACCCTGTTCTCTGAACGAAGGAGACCTAAAGCAGCCAGGTCTCACTCTGTAGCCCAGGCTGCCCACAAACTCACAGCAATCCTCCTACCCTGACTCTTGAGTCCTGGCTTCATGCCCAACAGATCATGAATTTTTGTGACATCTAATTCCCAAGCCATGTATAACAAACACTTGAAATGTGCCCAGTACACCTGAGAAACTAAATTTTAGACTTCACTAAATTTTAATTAGCTTAAATTTCAATGACCACACAGAAGTGGCAGACCCTGCACAGAGCAGTGTGCTGTGGGTCTAATGCTGGACCCATTCTTCAGAGTGGAGTGGGGATGGGGTGAGGGTGGG